AAGCACAGAGAAGTTAAGTGACTTTCCCAAGGTCTCACAGTGAGCTGTGGTAATGCCAGGCTGGAGCAGGGGTCTGACTTTAAAAGCCCATGCAAATCTCCACGGTCAGAATAAAGGAAGGAAGGCGCACCTTGTGGACTGAAAAGAGAGGCAGAGTTTGGGGCCCGTGCATATTTGAACAGGCTGTGAGCTCACAGCGGGGCTGCTCAGCCCCGGCTCAGTCCCGACACTGCTACCCTGTGTGGCAGAGCCAGCCACGCCAGGACATACCCCTCAGGCTGGGGAACAGAGCTGACCACGGGCCCTGCAGGTCCACACCCAGGGTCAGGACAGAGAGGGGACCACTGGGCAAACAAGGCCTGGCCAGCAGCAGCATGGGAGCTGGATGGACTGGGCTGGGTCCCCGAGAGGTGGGGTCACCTGACTTCAGTGGCTTGCTTTGTGACTCTCCTTTATGAGGGGCAGGGCCAGTGGCCTGGACTGAGTTCTGTGGAGTCAGCTTTCTACAGAGGGTGCCAAGCAGGCTGCATGCTGCCCGCTGTCACCCCAGACAAAGAGGTCGGGAGACAAGAGACACTCAGGGATGCCTGGGGCAGTGGGCAGACTAGAGGGGGAGACGCAGGAGTGAGCTAAGAGACTGGTCAGGGGCAGGGACAGCACCCGGTGGACAGGCAGAGAGGGGTGGCCAGAGAGAAGGGGACTGCAACCATTTATGGTCTTTCTCTTTCAATGGGGGGTTTCCACTGGGGAGTCAGGGAGAGGCAACCAGGCAGCGGATGCCTGGCAATGGGTGAAGAGGGCACCCTCGGGCTCCGTGTTTCCTGGAGGCTGCTCGGGGTGACACGGCTGCCAAACAGGCCTGGCACCAATTTCCACCTCAGGGCACAAGCCACAGGCTGCCACCACCTGGTGTCCTGCCCACTGGGGAGGTGGGGAAACCAGGTGGATGCTGGAGGTGAGTGTGGGGTCAATCTCCCCTGTCCTCGGCCCGCTGTGATCAGCAGAGGGAGGGTCCTTCTCCCCTTCTCCCCACCCCACCACACCCAGCCAGCTCACGGAGCCTGAGGCTTTTGATGTTTCCTCTGTTCTTTCCACAGTTCAAAAGGAGCTCTGCAGCCCCAGCCCTCTCTCCAAGCCTGGCCTTAATCTCCCAGCCCTTGCGCTCCCAGCTGGCCAGTTAAGGCGGTTTAAGATGGCTGGATTAGGGCCGGCTTTACATAACAACGCAGGAGCGAAAGGCATCCTCTCCTGGGATGGCTAGAAGACTTCTTTTCATCTTCACGCTTCAGATGGCCTTTTTTCTCCCTTAAACAGCCCTCCAGCCCACCAAGAGGCAATGCACTTGGCCAACAGGAAGACAAAGAAGAGATTCAGGGTTTCGCTTTTTCTCCCTCGGCCGGTACCACAGAGGGATGCCTGCAGCCCCAGGTCTCTGGGCAGGGGATGGTTCTCCATGGCCAGGACTCAGCCTGCACCCGTTTCACCACGCCCTGCCATGTGGTGGCTTCAGTCCACAGCCACATCACCCACCATGAGTGGGTGGCCTCAGACTGTTGCACCAAGGGTCACTGGGCCCAGACTCCATTCAAGGAAGCTCAGGGGTCCAGCAGGCAGGTCCAGGCCCCCCACCTGGCCCACACGAGAGCAGCCCCACATTTAGCTGCTTTATTTATTTATTGTCTTTAGTGTTTAATTCTATCATTAATTTTAACTTCACCAGGGATATAAGATTATACCTTCTTGTAAAAATTAAAACATTAATTACAGATAATACTACAATCCTCTTTGACTGCCCTTCCAATTTCAATCTTCTTCTCCCTGGTCCAGAAGGAATCACTGTTGTCTGTTTAGATTCCTGTCTACATAATTACATACATGGTACCCAAGGAGTCCCTGGATGGTACAAACGGTTAACCCACTTGGCTAATAATCGAAAGGTTGGCAGTTCGAGTCCACTCAGAGGTGCCCAAGAAGAAAGGCCTGGTGATCTACTTCTGAAAAATCAGACATTGAAAACCCTATGGAGCACAGTTCTACTCTGACACACATGAGGTCACCATGAGTCAGGACTGACTTGGCAGAAACTGGTTTTTATGGGCCCCAGAGAAAATACAGAGCAGTGCTTTTTTTATACGTCAGATATCATACTGCATGTGACTTTCTGTAACCTGTTTTATCTATGTTACATTTTGTGCTCCTGTGTAAGCTTTTGTCTGAAGAAGGGGACTGAAAAGTTTGACCACCAGCAGCCTAGACCCACCCCTCGCTGGGAAACTGAGGCAGGCTAGCGGCTCCCGACCTCCTCTCTCATCAGTGGCAGCACTGATAGGCCTGGCGCCATCAGCAACTGGCAAGGCACCCAGGCTGCTGTTACCTGGCGGGTATCTGCAGTGTCAGACCAAGCGCCCACCAACCACACGCCCATTCCCTGACAGGTGCTGGCACCCTCAGGCATCTCCTGTTTATCTCCAACCCAATCACCGATGTCGGTAACTGCCACCCTACACGCTGGTTTGTCCTCCCTACTCGCTGCCCACATCCACTGGGTGCCCACTGAGTCCAGCTCCACATCCCTACTCACCACATTACAGAGGGGAGGGAGGAAGGGTCCTGCCCAAGATCACACAGCGAGTCTCTGCCAGAGTTGGGAGGGAAGCCAGGTCTTTGGGCTCCTAAGCCAGTGCTCCTTCTACTTCACAGCAACAGGGCTCATGCTCTGAACACAGGCATTAAGCAAAGTGACCCTCCCTTTCAGAAGGAGGTGGGTTCTGTGGGCAGGCCATTTCACATCCATTTGCAGGTAAAGACATCTCATTTGAAGCCAACTACATGATTTCAGGCTTAGCCTCAATGGAATAGAAAATAACTTAGTTTTTCAACTCCAACCAATGGCCCAATAAATGATGGATAGATGGAAAGACCAAACCAAAACCCACTGCCGTTGAGTCAATTCAGACTCATAGCGACCCTATAAGACAGAGCAGAACTGCCCTATAGGGCTTCTAAGACTGTAAATCTTTACGAAAGTAGACTGCCACATCTTTCTCCCACAGAGCAGTTGGTGGGTTCGAGCTGCTGACCTTTTTGGTTAGCAGCCAAGTATTTAACCACTGCGCCACGAGGGCTCCTTAGATGGAAAGACATACGGAACAATAGAAGGATGATGGATTAAGGGATGAGTGGACAGATGATGAATAAATAGATGGATGAAGGATGAAGATGGAGGAAGATGGTTGGTTGATGGATGAGGGATGAGGGATGGCTGGCAGATGGAAGAGTAGGCAGATAAGTGACTAGGCAATGGATGGAAGGATGGGTGGATGATGGATGGATGGATGGACAGATGGTTAGAAGGATGGATGGATGGATGGATGGATAAGAGTGCTGGATGGATAGGTCATGGATTCGTGGGTGGGTGGGTGGATGGGTAGATAAATAGATGAGTGGGTGGGTGGGTGGATGGGTAAATAGATGAGTGGGTTGGTGGGTGGACAGTGAATGGGTGATGGATGGATAAAAAAATGAACTGGCCAATAAGTCACCATATGAATGAGTAAATGAAGAGATAAATAGAGTAAGTCCATGAATCAACGTCGATTCCCAGGACCTACATCCTACAGAACTTTTATAGGCACCTAATCCTGGCATCTCTCCTCAGAGCCAAGGATGACAGCTGAGGTTTGGGGGAGCCCAGGAAATGGTGGACATTACAGCCACTGCACCCCTGACTGCAAGCACCAGGTCCAAAGGCAAACACACTCAAGGGAAACACCCCACAGGGTTGATAGAGCTTTCTGTCCATGAGACCTGCTCATATTTGAACAAAGTTTAGTCCACTGTGATATCATGCTTGATAGAAACATGGATCTCCAGCCTGCCTCCAAATTCTGGGCAACTGAAAGAATCTCTTAAAACAGGGCTTCTCAAACTCAGTGTGTATACAAATCACTTGGGCAGCTTGTTAGCATGCAGATTCTGACTCTGCAGGTCTGGGGTGAAGCCAGAGATTCTAAATTTCTAGCAGATCTCAGGCCAGATGTGGCCACAATCTTCAGATCTGGCCCGGGCACCCCTGGAGAACCTTCTGGCACTGTCTGCTCTCCTCTCGAGGCCCTACAGGACCCCAAGGCTTAGATCCCCCAGTGACCACCGGGCCATGGCCTCCCAGCTCTCCAGCCAGCTGCCCGCCCTTGCCTCAGCAGAGCAGCCCTCGCTGTCCCCTGGCTGTGCCAGTTTGGCGATTCTCTTCCGATTCTGAATAAAAAATGGAAACGCTATTCCATTCAGCAAACACTTTCAGCTTTGAGATGCCATCTGCTCCTTACACCCACTCTGGGAGTTAAGCAGGGAAAAAGCCCTCATTCCTATTCTACAGATGTGGAAACTAAGGCGCAGAAAGGTGATGTGGCTTGCCCAAAAGTCAAACCAGCAAGCCAGCGGCCAGCCAGCCCTCTACTCCCGTATCTTTCCATGATATGGTGCACCTCTTGAAGAAAAGGAGTGAGAGCTACAGAGGAGAGAGGGGAGAGGCTGGCGGGTGCATGCATGCGTGTGTGCATGTGTGTGTGTACACGCTTGTGCACCATAAGAGTGATGTGAATGGAAGTACGGAGAAATGAAATCGCTACATGTGAAATGAAGCTGCGTGCTTTTGCTCCAGCTTATATAGTGAGGGGCTTCACACACAGCCCTAGGAAGTAGCTCCTATTATTATCCCCAGAGGGTATTAGCTGAGGTCGAACAACTTGTCCAAGGTCCTACAGCTAATACAGAGAGGAGCCAGGATGTAACCAGGGTGGGCTGGCTCCAGTCAGTGCTTGGACCTGTGAAGAGCTGCCCTTCCCTCCTCAGTCCCATCCCACCCCCTTCACCAAGAGTCAGAGTCCTTGTCCTCAGCCTTGTCTGCAGGTTTTCTGGAGAGTACGAGGGGCAAGGGGCAGACCACACATCCCCTCCCGCCACCTCACTGCTCCAGAAAGAGAGCAACCGACTCCAAGTACCTTCCAGCCGACAGTCCTCCTCCTCCTCCTCGCTGAGTGTTTCTCTGAAAACTTCGCCCATGAGCTCCTAGAGGAAGACAAAGCAGGGACATTAAGGCACTGTTGGGGTCAGGTTGGAATGCAGCTTTGGGACATTCAAGGTGAATGTCACAGGTCACAAGGAAGCAAGCATCTTGTTCTGATTTTTCTGGTGGGAATTTAGGTCAACTGAGATGGAGCCAACTGCACTTAAAAAGTTGGTTATCGCAGTGCTTTTTAGGAAGTAAGTTTTTGTCAGCCTACAGCCCTCCAAGAAACACTACACAGGACCATCCTTATCCCTTAGAAATAAAGTTCTACCCTCTACCCGGGATCTGCAAAGACAAGATCAGAAAATGTCCCTGATCCATCCCCTTGAGCCAGCTTGGACACAGAACCCGACCTGAAGCCTTCCCTGTGGGACCCAAGAAGAGAACTCAGTTTGGATCCTTCCTCCAACAGAGAGTCCTGGGCCGCTGTCTTGTGGGTTTATGAAGAAGCCAAAGGGCTTCTGCCCTTAACATAAGGTGCAAACTCTCCAGAAGAACATTCAGAAAGCCACATGCTTTTGCTCCAGCTGACCTTCAAATGCACCTCCCACATCTCACCGATGCACACAACTCCCAGGAAACTAGCCTGCTCCGGGCACATGCCCTGCCCGGTCCCCCATGTGTGTTAAACATGTCTGGTATCACACTGCACATGGCGGGGCTTCTTCTAAGCAGCCTGGTCAGGCTGCTGCTCATGTGCCGTCAGGGTGGCAAGGGAAGTTTGGTTGGTTCCACAGGCTGGGAAATTTCTAGGATGTCACCAGACAAATGTCCCATCTCTCTGACCCATCTCCAGCAGGAAGACTCTGAATAGAGAAGAGGCTAGACTGGGGCTTATCAAATGTGTTCTATGTTTACGTAGGTATTCTGCCAAAGAGTTCTGTGCGCAAGCAAGATCGTTTTAAACAAAGTGAAACAAGGTCCCTTACTGCAGGGGAAGTCCCTGGGTGGTGCAAACAATTAACACTCTCGGCTGCTAACTGGAAGGTTGGAGGTTCCAGTCTACCCAGAGGTGCCTCGGAAGAAAGGCCTGGTGATCTGCTTCCCAAAAACCAGCCATTGAAAACCCTGTGGAGCACGCTTCTACTCTGACAACATGGGGTCGCCATGAGTCGGAGTCGACCTGACAGTAACGGTTTTCTTCTTTTCCTACTGCAGGCCTTATCAGGGCTTTTACTATGCTAATAGCCACTGAGACTCCCCAAGTGTTCCACTATGTTGCAGTCCCCAAACCTATTTGGACCATGGAGTTTCGTTTTTCAAAAACATCTCATGGGAGCTGTGTTCCAAATAACCTTCTTTGGGAATCACTCCTCTCTGAGAGGGGAGATGAGGTTTGGGGGGGTCATACCCCCTTTTCCTCTCTTGATGCCCAGAATGATGCTTGGCAGCTATTCTCCAACCACAACATCATAAGCGATAAGATGAGCCCAAACTCAGCAGCCGTCGCAAACTTCTCTTTATTTTAAAAAAGTGACACCAGGAAAAAAAAAAACCCTCTCCTTGGGAGTGGGGGGAAATCCAACATCTCAGATCTTTAAAGAGAGCTCAGTGCTCGTCTTGATTAAAGGAAAAAGCGATGCTTTGGAGAGCTGGTATCATCAACTGGACACAGCTGGTGGTGTCTTTGCTTCTCAAGACGAGCAGCTAACCTTTTCTGGGTTAGGGCTGGTCTTCTCTGTTCTCTCCCTTCTTTCAGAACTTTCGAGGGCATTATGCACTCTTTCTTAAAGGCTGGTAAAATGTGGTCATTCAGACTCCCAGTGCCCCATTTACTTCAAAACCAGCTACTCGATTCCCAGCTTCTCTTTCCTCCTCTGCCAATTATTATAATCACCGAGCATTTCCTGGGCTTGTAAACTGGCTGTTTGTGTTAACAGCGCTGGAGTTGACAGGGGAGCTGAAGACGGTGACAGGAAAGTGACGCGCTCGGGTGGCATCATTAGATGGCAGGGACGCCCCGGCAGCCAATTAAAGTGGATCTTTCATGCCAGAGGAAGACGGATGCCGCCTCCCCTGCAAGGCAGACAGACAGTGCTTCCCGACAGGTGCCGGCGACTGTCTTCAAGAGAATAAACGAGCCCCCCTCACACTGAGGTCTTCTGCACAGAGGGAGCTCGGCTGACCACGGCCGCCACCCCGACTGCACCACGCGGGGCTGACAGCATCCACGACACGGGCACTTCTGAGGCCCCGCATCTTTTTGCTGGCACAGTTGGAGGAATTTAAACACTCAAAACGTCGCCAGCAAGAAGGCAGCCATCGAGGACCCCTATAACGATGCCACCTCGCGGTGTGCAGCGCACGCTAGTCATCATTGTGATGAAACCTTTAGCGCTCTCTGAGAACTGTCTGTTGGGAGGACGAAGCTCTTGACATACTCACAAAGCAGAGTCCTGGTAAGTTCTGGGGTCGGCCTCTCACCACTAAACTGTGCCCTGCTCTGTACGACACTGTGAAAGCCCCCAGCGCCGTGGTCCGCCGGAGCACTGTGCAGGGGAAATGCTCAAATTCCCTTCATCCACCAGGCCCAGAGCTTGGGTCTGTGATCCTCCAGCTTAGAATTACTAGACCAGAGGCAGCATGGGATGTGGAGCCAGACACAGGTTCAAGTCCTGGCTCCACCGCCTCCCTCGCTCTTGCCCCCGGGACCAGTCATTGCCTTCTTGGGGCTTCAGTCTACTGGCGTGTGAAAAGGGCACAGGGACAAATCACGACAATACAACAGCCAGCGCTCGCTGCGCACTTCCTACCTGCCAGGCACCGTGCTGAGCTTTACGTTGTTGCTGTCAGCTGCCATCCAGTCGACCCCAATTCATGGTGATTCCATGCACGACATCCAGTCCTGCACCACCCCCATGACCAGCTGTGGATCAGACCATTGTGCTCTGTAGAGTTTTCATTGCTGATTTTTGGCAGTAGATCACCAGGCCTTTCTTCCTAGTCTTAGTCTGGAAGCTCTACTGAAACCTGGTCAGCATCACAGCAGCACAAAAGCCTCCTCTGACAGACAGGTGGTGGCCAGGGGTGAGAAACCAGTCAGCACGGTATGCACCAGTTTGCACTGAGCAAGGTAGCACAGGCTTGATTGTACTCACTTGCTAATCTGTGGTGAGCAATTTCACATGGGTTTCACCACACCTCCGACATGGTTGGGGACAGGTGAAACTGTGCACTGCAGACTGGTGGGAAGGCACAATTGGGCCCTTGTATAACCTTGCTTATTGGGTAATTCAGCCCTGGTGGTGGCTGCGCATGAGGTGCATTGGCCGGGAACTGAATCCTACCACTGAACCACGAGTGTCCTCACTAAGCGCTACCTGTGTATCTATATTTAACTAGACATACATATAGTCATTGCCATCGAGTCGATTCCAACTCACAGCGACCCTGTATGACTGAGTAGAACTGCCCCATAGTGTTTCCACGGAGCAGCTGGTGGATTCAAACTGCTGACCTTTTGGTTAGCAGCTGTAGCTTTTAACTACTGTGCCACCAGGGCTCCATATACACATATATGATATATTAACTCCTTAAATCACCACTGCAGCCTTGCTCTTTCTGTCTCTCTAGGAATAAATACTCATAAAAATGATTTGTAAAAATTGTTCCATGAGAAGTATAATTGTTACCATTTTTTTTCTACAAAGAACATGTCCCCAACCCTCATGGACCATAAGAGACAGGAAAATGATGCTAATGACAGTCACCGAGTCCTTCCCAAGCACTTGTGGTGTGCAGGGCACTAACCGATGGAGTGCTCATAGAGCCCCTGGAGAACAGGGCTGTTTTCGATGAGGAGAGGCTCAAAGAGGCCAGGCAGCCTGCTGTGGATCAGTAGGGAGCAAGGGGCAGAGGCCAGATTCGAGCCAGGCCCTCCAGATGTGAGGGCTGAGCTTGTGCAGGATCAGGGCTCCCGTGGGCATGGGTGACCCAGAGTCCTGGCACTTGCCAGGGATCATGCTTAAAGAAGGGCAAGAAAAACTGCCCAGCTAGCAGCTCCAGTGGGGTCAGCGGCCAAGTCCTCCCGCCCATCCAGCAGGACTTCAAGGTCCCCATAGCTCCTCCTTACTAGGTTTGGGACCGGCCCTGCCCTCAGGCCCAGCCCTGGCCGAGAGCCCTGCGTGCCAGGTCCAAGGCTCAGCCCTTAGCGCCGTCCTGCAGGAGGATGGGAGCTGCAGGGAGCCTCATGTCCCAAGACAGCCATGAGCCCCACTGGGAGCCCCGGATCTGGAGTTGGTCAGATCTTGGTTCAAATCCCAGCTCTACTGCTGCTACAAGCTGCATCATCTGGGTGAAAGAACTCTGGCTCCAATGCACCTCAGTTTCCCCATCTGTATACAGGGACGATCGCATTAATGAATCTGCAGGGTGTTGTGAGGATTAGGAAACCCTGGTGGCGTAGTGGTTAAGAGTTCCGCTGCTAACCAAAAGGATGGCAATTCAAATCCACCAGGCGCTCCCTGGAAACCCTACGGGGCAGTTCTGCTCTGTCCTATAGGGCCACTATGAGTCGGAATCAGCTCGACGGCAATGGGTTTCGTTTGGTTTGTGAGGATTAAGTAAGCTATTGCCTATAAAGTGCTTAGTTAGCATTGCACCTGGCGCCACAATCGAGGTTCACTAAATCAGTAGTTATCGCTTATTACTTCTCCTAGACTATTAGTATCAAATGGCTACCAGAACTTTCCTGAAGGGAGCTGACTCACTAGACCCAAGGTGCCCTTACAGATCCCTATAAAGACGCCCCCCTTCCCGCCACGAGGCATTGTTTTTCGGTGCTTTGCATTTAATCCGCATGGCAATCCTTTGAGGTAGCACCATTTTTGTCCCCACTTTACAGATGAGAAAATTGAGGCCTAGAGAGGTTAAGTGTCTTGCCCAAGATCACACAGCCTGGGCTCTGGAGTCCACACCCCTCACCACTGTGCCATAAGGAGTATCCGAGCACGTGGCTTGGTGTGCAATGACCTGCCTGCATGGCTTCCTTTGTCTCCCT